TTCCTGCTACTAATGGCACACAAATTGTGCTTTGACAGATTAATGCTTTGCTCAATACACTAATCAAATAGGCGCATTAAGGCATTTATGCTTTATGATTGAAAAGTAGTCTGTCAAAAATGACCCCCAGCCACAGATGTTACCTTTTGCTCAGCCAAATGTTCATCTAATTCTTGGTGCTGTGTGTAGAAACAAAATGTTCCTACTTCTGTAAATGTTTCTTAGTTTGTATGCTTGTCTTTAAAGCGACAGGTCTGGATTTGTGATGTTGTCATTTCTGACAGCACTTGTGACCTTTCGTTCTTCACACTAGTGCTTTTAGAGCAGTAATATGAGAACATTATAAGCTGTAAAAAAGGACATTTTTTTGGGCACATGGAAAGTTTTAAAGTAATTATTGGTGCCAGTTATTATGGGCTGTTAAACATAATATTGTATTTAAACATACTATTAGTTTTTAAGTTCAGCTTTTCTCTATATGGGTTCAAAACTCAGATCTTTCTAAAATGTTAATGAAACATAAGGATGACTTTGGTCTGGCTTTCTCCTGCACACTCGTTCAGGTGTCACCTGCCCATGCTCTACATCGGCCTGGAGTACGGTCTGACCAACAACTCCAAGCTGGCAGACCAGGCTCTTAGTATCGCTCCAGAGGACCCATTTGTCATACACGAGGTGGCAGTGGTCGCATTTCAGAATGGAGAGTGAGTTCTGCAGCCACAAACACATCATTGCAATTAGGTCTCTAGTTTGACAAAGGCAGTATAAATGTTACTTGGCAGTACAAATGGATGTTGGCACACAGCAGTGATATTTGTAAAAGCTGGATTTAACCAACTTAGAAGTCTGTTTTAAAATATGAACTGCAAGTACCAGCCGTGAACTGTCCCAGTAAATCATTTTCATTAGAGCTACTTTCTGGTGATTAGTCTCCTCGAATCCTGCTGGCAGCTGCTTTTGTGAAGTGCAATTTATTTGTTTTAATCTGCGTACTGACCCTTTAAGGCCCAGAAAATTGTGTTTTATAAGTATTTTTAATTCATAACACACCAAATGAAGAGATGAGCTGGGACAGCAGTCACACACTGAGAGTGCATATATTCCACACACAGCGAAATCTGCTTTATTAGATAAATATCCAGATGTGCTGCCAGAATGATTTTTATATCTTCTCTTTCAGCTGGAAGACCGCAGAGAGGCTGTTCCTGGATGCCATGGAGATGATCAAAGCCATAGGGAGTGAGGTAACTGCTAATTTAACTTAATTATCCTTGTGATGCATGTTTCGAAACCATGACAGTGTCTGTAAGAATTACTTAAATTATGCTTTTTGCTACTTTCCTCCAAAATGTAAGGTCACTGTGGACAAATGGGAGCCTTTGCTGAATAACTTGGGTCATGTGTGTCGGAAACTGAAGTAAGTACCTAGCCAGTGTTTTCCGTTGAATGACTTGTCTTGAGTAGCCTCGGTGTTTGCACTTGCAGCTCTAAATGCAGCGGTTGTCTTTGAGGTAACACTAGTAAAATATAGGAGGCCAAGTTATTTCATGAGTGGATGATTAAAGATGTCTAGAGTGCATGTCCCCTGATCTTTTTTTCCCTCACCTGCCTGCTACAGACTATTGTCAGAGATGTACTGTTTTGTTGTGTTGCAGTCATTGTGCATAGATAGGGTCCTCACTGAGAATTCATGCTAATGCCTTTTTAATGAATTATACATAGCCACCACTCAATAAATATGTATAAGTGGTTGTTTTAAAGGGTTTGGATCTTTTTTATGCAGGAGGGTTTTGTCCATACAAAACAAAAACTTCATAAAGCCTGGTGGTGCATCATCAATACATCGCTGAATGACAGTACTAAAAATGATTAAACACAGTCAGAGAAAAGTAATTATGTTCACATATTTTTGATACTCAGTAAAATTAATTTTATGTCATATTTGCAAACATCTTGTGAAATGTAGTTGAATATGTTGGCAATAATGTCTGTTGTAGAAAGTACAACCAGGCTCTGGAATACCACCGTCAAGCACTGGTGTTAATCCCTCAGCACGCCTCCACATACGCTGCCATAGGATATGTCCACAGCCTCATGGGTGACTTTGAGAGTGCTATTGACTATTTTCACACGGTAAAGTCCATTTAGTGAGCTTCATTTCTTATTTGAAATCTCTTTGGTGGTGAGCATTTGGTAAGAACCACCCAGTAAGAGGAGATGAATTCCTTAGAAAGTTCATGCTATAGTAGGAGTAACTGGAACTTGGAGTATCCCCAAAAATCCATTTGTTAAACAAGTTTTTCTGTTGTTTTAGTTGGACTAAACATATTAAAGTACAAAGAATGGCCTGTGATTTCTTGATTTATTTTAAGACAAGAAATACTTATTTTAATTTTAATGAAAAAGGCTTGAAGTTGTTTGTTCTCTCTGTGGCAGGCACTTGGACTGAAGAGGGATGACACTTTTTCTGTGACGATGCTTGGCCACTGTATTGAGATGTACATTGGTGACACAGATGCCTATATAGGTATGATACAGCTATAATGCAGTTTCAGAGAGCAGTTGTTTTTACCTTGTTGCAAAAGATTTAGAATGTTTTTTTGTTTTTTTTAAGTCAGGCTGGCTTTAAATGTTAGATTAATTGATTGTTAAACCTTTTTAAGTCAGAATTGAGCTGTAGTAGCATTAATAATACTTTTAAAGTCCCTGTGACACTTCTTGATAGTGCATTATTGGGTTCAACTGAAGCACCTGGGACATTGTCTTTGAGAAAACTCAGTGGAAAGCAGGCAAATCCAATTCTGTCAGCAGGTCTAGATCATTAAATGTATAGAAAAGATAGACAAAGCCATTGG